TTACGAACTTTTAAAAGCTGATAAATCTCAAAGTACGAGACTGGCATGGTCGAAACACCCATCATTAGTTTTCAATGAAATCGCAGTACAACATATGTGCGATCCAGGGCGTAAAGCAAAGAGGATTAGAAAATAGCGTTTTTAGCCCCGTTGACTTGCATTCATGTTTTCGTTCTTCCGGGGACCCATGATGCGGAAGTGACTTAGGCTCCCTATTGCCCTTACACATAACGTTGTCTTTTGTGCTGTCCTTGTTCAATAAAACCAAAGTAAACTAAACTAGCACGTTTAGGACCAAAAGCAACTATTGGACCTTTTTCATGTTGTCTCGCCCAACAAAAAGCCATCAAACAAAAAGAAACAGCCAGCTGCTACTACTTCAATTTTAGGACAAACTACCAGAGTCCCAAAAAGAAAAACACCATTTGAAGTCACGGACAACAAAAGACGTTTCGACGTAGAAAACGGCGACTGGTGTTTGCATTTCATTTCCTCCGGCATCACAGATTTGCGGTTCACGCACAAGCACTTCAGAGAAGATCCCCAAGGGAAGGGGTGAGTTTTCCCCCGACCATGTTTGCTTTCAAGACCTAGCTTGTTTGCAGATTTGCCATAACAGTTTATTAACATATTTTGAAAACTATTTGTCCATGGCCTGACAAAAATGTTTTTCTTTTCCTTTATTCTCAAGTGTGCTACACTTTTCCTCTGGGGTACGTTTGTAATAAATACATTGATTTAAATAAAGTATTAAAAAAAACACCTGGCAATGGTGCCACCTGCAGGATGCTTCTCTAAGCCACATTTAACTGAGTTTTTCCTGAGACCTATTTTCTGACATTATTTATTCATAGGTCTGATGGGTTTTGGAATGAAACCCAATGCGTTTTTGCTCTATGGTCCGATGACGTTTTATTGAGACCTGAGGATGTCCTAAAATGTACATGGAATACGTGACAAGGATCATGAGCACTCAAAGTTACTGATGCTTTTATTAATTAATGCTGCATTAGCAAACCTGCAAAACAAGCTAGCTTTTAAACACAAACACAGAACTCTCTCGACTTTCCTCTCAGCTAACATCTCTAGACCACATCCGCCTGATACCGGAGTCCGCAGAGGAAACGAGAAACACCAGTCGCTGTTTTCTACTTCTTGTCCAATGGTTGGTTTCGGACGGTGCCATGTAATTACCGGAGTTTTCTAGACAAAGGCTAGAGAACCACTTCAACATTTTAGTTGTTGTTTTATTATTTTTTAATCTTCACAAAAATCTATTGCTATACCAAGTTGTTAAAATTGTTAAAATGCATGAAAATGTTTTAAGCTAGCTTGTTTTGCAGATTTGCCATCGCAGCTTTAAGGTAAATCTGTATTTTCTTTGACCAAGTGACTCCAAAAGTTAACTACTGTGCCAGTGAGAACTCATAGTTAAATTCCCAGCAGCTTATAATGATGACAGCTTCTGTCATTCTGAAACTGACAGTATTGTTGTTATATCCATCTGCTTTTCTGCTAATGACTAATGAATCATGCGGGGTATTCTGAATAGGGGGGCTTAAAGTGGCTACAAGCAGGCAGAACAAATGAAACGCGACCTTTCATTTCTATTCTTTCCTATCTCTAAAAACACCACTAAATGCATTACACGGAGGCTCTGAAAGCACCTCTTCTGGTATCAAACACATGTGAGTCAGTCCATTGAGGCCCGTTGACTCATCCAGGACAGAGCAGGGCTGTGACGAGATCCAGATAGGGGTAAAAAGAATAAGTGAATTAGGGGGTAGATGAAAAATGCAAGCTTGTCCGTGGAAGACTGAGTGAGAGGAAGAGGAGAACGCTGTTACAAGACGATTGCTGAACTGTGTGGCTTCTGTGTGATCTTAGTGGCAGGAGGTTGGCCAGTGGAAATCAAAGAGCAGATTCCTGCGGTTTTAGTGATTTGAGGGCTTAAAAATATCCAGTG